GGGCACCATGCACACGGTGCAGAAGGACACCACGTTCACCAAGATCTTCGTCGGGGGGCTGCCCTACCACACCACGGACTCCTCCCTCAGGAAGTACTTCGAGGTGTTCGGCGACATCGAGGAGGCCGTGGTGATCACGGACCGGCAGACGGGCAAATCCCGCGGATATGGTTTTGTGAGTGCCCGGCGCGGGGACAAAGGGCGGCGGCGCGGGCGGCGCGGGGACCCCCGCGGCGACCCAGGGGAGCAGCCCCGCGCAGGCGGTCCAGAAACAGCCAAAACTGCCCCTAAACGCAATAAACAAAGCGAGGAGGGAGGTGGGAAGCGAGGGAAGAATGCCCGGTGCAAACCTCTTAGAACAACTCTGTGGGGGGGGGGTCCCCTATTTTTGTCGAGCCTTTGGGACCCTTCCCATCTTTGCAAGGAAGCTGCGAGTAGCCCCTGCTTCCAAATAAAACAATAAATGAACTCCCCTTTTCCCTTTTTTTTTTTTTTTTTTTCAGTTTCTGGGAAGAGCAATTGCTACAAACAGGGCTGTGCCTCATTCCAGGTGACCATGGCGGACCGAGCCGCTGCTGAACGGGCATGCAAAGACCCCAACCCCATCATCGATGGCAGGAAAGCGAATGTGAACCTGGCGTATTTGGGAGCAAAACCACGGAGTATTCAAACTGGTGAGGCATCCCGGCGATCCCGGCTCTCCCTATTAGAATAACTCGCAGGACAAGGAAGCGAGTTACTGAGCGGGGTTCATCTGCTGATCCGTGCTCATCCCACACTGTTCCGCTTGCCACGCATGGAACACTGTGGTCCGGTTACCTTGCTTCCGTGTCTCCTCGCTCGTACCTGTTACACTGGGATTATGTGCCCAAATTCCTATAACGGAGTTAAAACCAGCTTCTACAATAGCTGATCTGTTCTCCTGTGCTTCCCTTTTGTTACGTTGGAATTAATGCTAACATGCATTTAATCATTCTGCCCGTTAGTTGAGTGACCACCGTATGCAAAATGAGGCGTTCAGTCCCCTATCTGTTTTGATAACAGTTTTAGCCTTGTTCTGTAGTCTGAATTCCCATCTGGTCTTTGTGCGTATCTCATATGCATATTAAAATCAACTTGCTTCTGCATTTGCACACATGCATGCATTTCCTCTGCCATGCACATGCCGTCTGAGCTGTAGCTGAGTGCATGTATTAAAAGCTGCATGCTACAATTTTCCTCTCTTTAACAATAGTTTTCTGATCACTTTTCTAGGTTTTACCATAGGTGTGCAGCAGCTACATCCAGCTTTTATTCAGAGACCCTTTGGGTAAGTGAAAATGTTTCTTAACAGTCAGTTTGAAATCGAGTTCGTAAATCAACTTCCTCATTATTTAAAATGTATGAGAAAAGCCATAAGGAATGGACAGTTTCAGCAGCTGCCATTAATGCCCGGAGTGCTTTATTTCTTGTGAAGATTTAAGAAGACCTGTGTATTTGTAAGCTTTTGTATAATTCCCAAAGATCCTCCTTTATCCTCAGTAAATCTTAATCATAATAAACCTAATACATTGCTTGCCTCTTTGCCAGCTTCAAGAATTTGGAAAAATCTAAATGGAAAATATGTTCCCTATTGTAGGACTTAAGGTGTCAAAACAATTAAGCAAATACTGTTCTCATGTTTCTTGAATAAGATATTCTGCTTCCTCTCTGCCATTTCCCACGTAGTAGTGCTTAGGGTATAGTTTTGTTCTAGGAAACAAGCTGCATTGGAAGCAGTCTTTTACTTAATGAAAGTAACATTAGGTCAAAAATTGATTTTGGACAGATGTTATACAGGGCTTGAATAGTCTGCAAAAGTGGGCTTTTGTCTGCTGTTTTCAATAGCTTATACCATCCCTACTCAGTTAGAAAAGTCCTCTTTTTATACATCTAATAGGATCTGGCAGCTGCTCGGGAGAAGACAAGTGTGCTTCACGGGAACAATAGTGACTGTCATACTGCCTTCATTTAACTGTTTAATGATTGATGCAGTTCTTTTTTTACACCATTTCAGAAAGCGAATATTGATAGGGAGGTTTTATTATTATTTTCTAAGAGCATTAAGAAAGTAGGTGCATTTTTTAAAAAGCTTTTGAGCACTGCTCTGTTGTGGTTTTTGTGTGGCTCTCTAATATAAATAGATGGGATTTTGGGCCTTTGTCAACAGAAATATTTCATTCCTTCCCTGTTCTCAGTTCATAGCTTAAAGAAAAAAAAACTAACAAGAAAACAGAAACTTTCACTCCTCTGCCCTCGCGCTTGCAGTTGCCAACTGCCTGGGTAATCTCATTCCAATGAGTTTATGGATGTAAGAGGCTCTGTTGCCACAATAGTGCACACCCAGCGTGTGTGTCCTGTGTACGGTTCAAACACGTTGAGGGCCGGCGGCAGCGGCACCTCGGGCACGGGGACCCCGGGGCGCGCGGCCGTGCACGGGGGACGCTCATCACAGGAGCAGCAGTTGTGAGGTTTTCCGACCGCAGCACCAGGAAAGAGCGAAGCGTTTAAACTCATGTTGGCAGCAGCCTTAGCTGGTGCCTGTTCCCTTTGCAGATACTGGCTGCTCCTGCCTGTGCCTTTCCTGCACGGCAGTTTCAGCTTTGCTGCTGTGGAAAATAAAAGTTGTTTCTCTTTTTAAGCAGTTTGCTTTTAGTTTCGTGTACAGAGGAGTGTGGGATCAACTGACTACGTGCTCCCTGTGATCTAGACAGTTACTGTTCCAGTTCTTAGGCATTGGTTTCATCATTAAACCAGCAGAGCGGCAGTTAGCACATACAGTAGAGCACTATAAATTATTTATCAGTTGCCAAGAGACAGGAATCAGGAGGCTGGAGGGGAGGGGATTATATATCATTATTTGCAAGCATCGGTAAACAAGAATGTCATTGCATTCAATCGCTGCTGGAGCAGAATCACTGGAAAAGTGGGTTTGGCAGAACACGGAGCCCTTTGCCTGAGCTGCAGGGTACTCTGGGTGCTCGGCGGGGCTCGGCTGCTGCTGCACGTCGTCTCTCCGGTCCCATCAGCAGAGGAGCAGCCTGCCACGCTCTGCTCTCGCCTTCCCTCATGCCCACCATTTCCTGGGCTGTCTGGGACTGGAAGATAGAGGAGGAAATTTTTTTTTTCATTATTTGTCTTGCTCTGGAAGCTTGATCAGCTTGTTGTTGCCTGTGGAGTGGATCCTAACCTTTCCCAAATTAAACTCTGGGATTCGTCTGCTTTGCTCTTAGTGGGAGGCATCGCAAGGGTCTCTCCCCTGCAGTTCCTTTCTCTGCAAGTGTTTGTGTCCCGGCCTTCTAGAGGACTGTTATCATGGGACACGGGTACCAGGTGCATGAACTGGACTTGGCAAGGAAGAAGTGGATGAACAATTTGTCAACTGCCAGACAGTTGAATAAGAGCAACCCAATTGCACTCAAGCAATCAAGCTGCAAAAATAGAGGATTGTGTGAAACTTGAAATGAATGGAAACTATGAAAATCACTTAAATATCAGTGAAGATTATTTATAAACCTAAGGCTTCCCTCCAGTGCCAGAGTCCCAAAGGCAGCTGTAAATATTGTCTGGGGTATGCGGAACAGAAAGAGAAACCGTAAAGGGCCCCTCCTTCCTCCCTGCCCTGGCAGGGGTGCACGTGCTCTGCAGACAGCACCGTGTCTGCAGCCTGGCTTTAAAAGCAGTTCTCCCCCTAAAAGTAGTCTCCAGCTTGTCGTAAGCAGCGATGTTAATGGTAATGCAAGGGAAAGGATGCGTGTGGCCGGGCCGCTCAGAGATGCAGCTCCTGAGGCTTAGCCAGCAGGCTGGGCCGTGCCGGGCGGCAGCTCGGAGCGTTGCTGCTCTTGTCCCCGGTTCCTGCCAGCGTGGGGTTGCGCTTCCATGGTCGCGTGGGACAGGGAAGTGCTCTCAGGTTCATCAGTGTCCCTGTAGGAAGCCCTGGGAGATGCACAAGACCTCAGTGAAGCTCCTAGCGCAGCCACGTGGACCGGGGTGACGTGGAGATGCGGCAGGGCTGCTCTGCAGTCCCCTGCCCCTTTCCTACGGGCGCTGGATGGGCACAAGCCCACGCTGGGGAATCCCTGCTCCCGGCTCCGCTGGCTCTGGGCACGCACGTTCCTATTGCTGTGGGACATCTAGCAGCGGCCGAGTAGGTTCCTGAGCCCTGGGAGGCGCCGGACGCGCTCCTGCGCGGGAGCCGGCCCTCTCCGTGGGCACGCGCTGGCTGCTGCCGCGTCCCCTGCCCCGTGCTCGCGTAGCGGCTGGTTTCGGTACGCAGGGGGGGAAGG